AGCCCAGGAGTTGGAGGTTGCTGTGAGCTGAGATGCCACGGCACTCTACCCAGGGGGACAGCTTGAGGCTCTGTCTCAAAAAAACAAAAACAAAAACAAAAAAAAAAAGAGATGAGATCTTGCTCTGTTACCTAGGCTAGAAGGAAGTGTACTAATCATAGCTCACTGTGATCTCAAACTCCTGGGCTCAACTGACTGACCCTCCTGCCTCAGCTGTGGCTGGGACTACAGACACATGCCACCACATCCAGCTTAAACAATGTGGTTTTTTTTTGAGACAAGAGTCTCACTATGTCGCCCTCAGTAGAGTGCCATGGCATCCAGCACACAGCAACCATAGCTCACAGTGCCACAGCTCACAGCAACCTCCAGCTCTTGGGCTTAGACAATTCTCTTGCCTCAGCCTCCCAAGTGGCTGGGACTATAGGCATCCACCACAACGCCCAGCTATTTTTTGTTGCAGTTTGGCTGGGGTCAGGTTCGAACCCACCACCCTCTGTATATGGGGCTGACGCCCTACCCATGGCCTTTTTTCTTTCAACCTTGACTACTCAAGTATTCAGTGCCTGGCACAGAGACAAAGAAAAGCAGATAAAAATTGTGTTTTAGCAGCTTGGCACCTGTGGCTTAAGCGGCTAAGGCACAAACCACATACACCTGAGCTGGCGGGTTCAAATCCAGCCCGGCCCACCAAACAATGACAGCTGCAATCAAAAAATAACCGGGCTTTGTGGTGGGTGCCTGTAGTCCCAGCTACTTGGGAGGTGGAGGCAAGAGAATCACTTGAACCCAGGAGTTGGGGGTTGCTGTGAGCTGTGATGCCATAGCACTCTACCCAGGGTGACAGGTTGAGGCTCTGTCTCCAAAAAAAAAAAAAATTGCATTTTGGCAATTACAACACAATCTAACACTTGGCTTTGTGTAACTCTTCATATATCAAGGGGAATAAAGCAGAATAGGCTGATTCAGGCCAGATGAGAGTGGCTCAGGCCTATAATCCTTGCACTTTGAGAGGCTGAGGCAAGAGGATCACCTGAGGTCAGGAGTTTGAGACTAGCCTGAACAAGAGTAAGACCTTGTCTCTACTAAAAATAGAAAAAGTAGTTAGACATGGTGGTAGGCACCTATAGTTCCAGCTACTCAGGAGGCTGAGGCAGGAAGATTGCTTGAACCCAGGAGTCTGAGGGTGCTCTGAGCTAGGCTGATGCCATGGCATGCTATTCTAGGGCAACAGAATGACACTGTCCCCCCCCCCAAAAAAAAAAAAAGACTGATTCAGAGCCAAATGAAATCTCCTAATATTGTCCTAACCTGGTAAATGACCCTGGATATAAAAATGGCCCATTCAATTGCTCCATTTGAGAAACTAAATAGCTCTATCATGATGTGCTATTATGTGTTCTAGCCACCCAAGGTAGTACAATTAGACAACAGTGCATTTTTTTTTTTTTTGAGACAGAGCCTCAAGCTATCCCCCTGGGTAGAGTGCTGTGGCAAAACAGCTCACAACAACCTCCAACTCCTAGGCTCAAGGGAGTCTCCTGCCACCGCCTTCCAAGTAACTGGGACCACAGGTGTCTGCCACAACACCTGGCTATTTTTTGGTTGCAGCCATCATTGTTGTTTTTGGTGGGCCCGGGCTGGATTCAAACCCACCACCTTAGGTGTATGTGGTTGGCGCCTTGGCCACTTGAGCCACAGGTGCCAAGCCAACAGTGCATATTTTTAACCTAAATCCTGAGCACAAGACTACGCAGACATCTTTCACCACTGGTTATGTCACCTACAGAGCAGTAGGGACATTCATATGCTGGGAATCATGGTGCCAATCTACAGAGTGCATGTTAACAAAACCCAACAATTCAATTAGGAGACAGCCCCAAGCAGACAAAACTACATGTCTGTAGTCCCAGCACAGTGGCTCACACCTGTAATCCTAGCACTCTGAGAGGCCAAAGTAAGTGGATTGCTTGAGCTCATGAGTTCAAGACCAGCCCAAGCAAAAGCAAGACCCCCATCTCTACTAAAAATAGAAAAACTGAGGCAAGAGGATCACTTGAGCCCGAGTTGGAGGTTCCTGTGAGCTATGACACCACAGCACTCTGCCCAGGGCAACAGCTTGAAACTGTCTCAAAAAAAAGGCTGGGCGCCTGTGGCTCAAGTGGCTAGGCACCAGCCACATACACATAAGGTGGTGGGTTCGAATCCAGCCTGGCCCGCCAAAGAAACAATGACGGTTGCACCTAAAAAATAGCCAGGCACTGTGGCGGACGCCTGTGGTCCCAGATACTTGGAAGGCTGAGGCAGGAGACTCCCTTGAGCCCAGGAGTTGGAGGTTGCTGTGAGCTGTGATGCCACAGCACTCTACCCAGGGGGACAGCTTGAGGCTCTGTCTCAAAAA